GTGTGTGTGTGTGTGTGTGTGTGTGTGTGTGTGTGTGTGTGTGTGTGTGCGCGTGCGCGCACGCTCTGTGTACGTCGCGTATGCGTTGGGTATCAAATGCGTGTGCATGTGTGGGATTTTGTGCGTGTGTGGTGTGCGCGTTTGTGTGTGAGGGGGTTGTGTGTGTGTGGGGGGCGGGTGCGGGAGGGCGTTGCCTGTTCAAACTCACCAAAGTGACACCCAACCTCCAGCACAATGTCATCGGGCTGCGTGAAGTGGAAGGCCGCCTCACGGTAGTCGCGGGTGGTCTCCACCACCAACACACGCGCCGGGATCTGCGGGGGTGTGCTGGGGCTTCTGGGCGCAAGCAGGCAGAGCCTCTCGTTTCGGAGAGACCCGGCCGCCCACCCCGCTCATGCCTGCATGACCGCCGCTCGGACCGCCTCTCATGGCGCCAGCTGCACAACCAGCATGTACAGGTCGCCGATGCGCGACCCCGCCCTGCTGGCCGCGCACCTTGCGAAGCTGCCGCATTTGCCGGGGGTAGACGTGGCGCGTGCGCCCTGTCGGCCGGCCGTCGTCCCCCAACACCTCCACCAGGCAGTGCCCCTGAAACTCGCGCCCCGCAGCGTCGATCGGGCCCGACAGCACGCGCGCCTTCCCCAGTCCGGCGACGTGGACGGTTTGTCCCAGGAGGTGGAAGGATGAGGGGCCGGGGCCGTCCCCAGCGTCCGTGGCCGCGGGTGGCGCTGAGGCAACAACGGGTGCAGCGGCGGCAACAGCGCTGCAGCTGGGGGTGCTGCACTCCGCCGTGCCATATCCCTCGTCGCCATCTAGTCGTACATCAACGATTTCAGCGCTTCTTGTCGAAGGCTCACTCATGTTGAACGCGTGTACTGTACTCCGATACGCACGAGATCTGGATCTGCAATCGGTCGATATGTAGACAACACGACAACATCTGAGCACGACTACATCAGCTATCGCATGGGGGCAAAAGCTAGTCTCCATTCAGCACCTGGCGGCTGCAGTTGCGGGTCACCCGCTGGGTTGCGTCATGTGAAGACGGGAACAAAGCTGCACAGAAGAGGTGAGCAATCGCCGTTCGCAGCAAAAATTCACCAGGTTGCAGCAAAGAGGTACAGTCATGGGCCCAACTTTGGCCGGCTGCTTGCACATCTGGTGCCCATGTGTCGGGCGTGCTTCAGGCGGCAGCACTGGGTTCGCGCCTGCGCTATTGTGAGCGCAGACGTGGGCTGATGGTGTCATGCGCAGCGCCCTCACCCGCCGCAGCTGCATGCCAACGGCGACCTCCCATATGGTCGCATTTTGTGCTGAGGCACGGTTTGCAACCCCCCGGGGCCAGAGCAAGGGTTGAGGTACACCCAGTCAGGCCCGCATGAACGCTGCAGTGAACATGCCGGCTCACTTGATTTCAGCCTGAACACGCGCGCGTGCACATGCGTGCGTGCGCGCGCGCACACACGCACACACACACACACACACACACACACACACACACGCCTCCTCCTGAACAGCAAGGCACGCTTTATATGGCTTGCAAAGGTGGAGCGCGGCTCATGCAGCTCGCAACCAGTACAGGGAGTCACGACATGGTCGTCGTCACAAGTGACACTGCTTCAAGCCGAGTTGGCGCTGGTTCAGCGAAACAGGGAGGCGGGGGTGCCGTTTCAGAGGCATTCCGGGCCATGCATGGCTCGAACAGCATTGCAGCATGCCCGGGTCGTGGCTGCACTGCAGCCACAGCCGCCATGGCTGCCCCGCTGCTAGCTGGCCTGCCAGCTTGTTTCAGGATTGGGTGGGGGCCGCCACGTAGCTTGGTCGAAAGGCGGGCCCGTTCGTGGTGGGACGTGCGCCAGCGGCATCGCCGCGGTGGCAGCACGTGGTGCAGGATGGTGTCTTCGACGATGTCGCAGCAGTTGTACCGCCGGAACATGGTGAAGCCGCTCGCACGTTCCTGTCTGCGATGGCTACTATACTATTGTTTTCGGAACCATACGAAGTGTTACGTTGAGTTATGCAAGTTCAGTATGCCTGGGGACACGTGGGCTTACGGTTTTGCCACTCCCAGATCACACAGGTGTGAACCAGCTGATGCAGCGCACGATCATATATGTCTCATAGACCAAATAGGCGTCATTCCGAGTGCCTCACGCGTTCACGCACGCCGAGACGCAGCCAATCGGGTCCCTGAGACTGCATCGGGACCCAGTTTTTGCCACCTCTGTGGGGAGGTCACCGCTAGCGTGATGGCTGGTACCACACCGGTATAGGCTCCGCTGCTCCCCTGCCCCAATACGCCGGCCGCCGAGCGCTGCTGCCGCATAGACGCTGGCTGGCGCGTGCCGTTTTGTGCACCATAGGAGCGGGCCAAGCAGCGCAAGCAGGGATGCCCGGCAGCCACCTGGCAGCCGATGAGGGCGAGAACGAGGGCACGTGTGATTGGATACCGCTGGTGCGCCATCCCGCGCCGAGGGGACGAAGCGGCTCGCAGCGGGCGCCACAGGCGGCAGTGCCCGCGGCGGCGCGCACACCAGGCCGCGGCGGCGCGAGCCCTTCCAGACGCCGTCGAGCATGCGGCGTTCGGGCGAAACGCATGCAGGACCCCTCTAGCCGTTCCGAAC